TAATCAGAGCTAGCGGCATGCACGGGTCTCTCGGCAAAAGGTCTCTCCACAACAAGTCTCTCGGAAACAGGTCTCCAACCTAGCTACCCGAATACGTCAGAACCGCTCTCGAAAACCGCCATAGCCAACTGGACACAAACGGTGAAATGCTACTCCGGCCGAGAGGACAACGATATGACGAAAGCTAGATTGCTCAACCCGATGATGGGCGGCTCCACGACGGGTGCGGAGCACCCCACTGAGAGGAGGCCACGGGAGCGAGGTTTCCTATTACAGGGAATTGGGGTTTACTTTTTAACTAGTACCATACCCGTGTGCTATACGGGTACTTACATATGTTAATATTTGTACAATAAAAAATTAAAATTATTTATAATAAATATACAACAATAATAAATAACTAACAAACTGATAAATAATTCAATATGGCGGCCACATTTTTACACTAGATTTGTCAAAAATGATATTTTTTTTAATTATATTTTTTAAGTTATATATGTCTAAAATATATATTATTTACTACTCCATATATTTGATTTGAATTTTTTTAAAACAAAACAAGTTTTACTGTATTGTGATTATATTTTATATTTATAGAGTCGGTGTCTCTCGTTTATTAAGTTTTCACGTTTTTTAAATTTATTTAATTTAATAATTTAGAATATTAATTAATGCATAAATATATTATTTTATAAATTTATGAAATGCAAAATTGTTTTATAATATGTAATATGATATCCCTTTATATTTATTATTGTAAACAACGTAAGTTATATAACATATTTAAATTGAGAAACACTACTTTATAATGTTTCTTATAATTTATTTTATGTAACACTTAATTTTCATATTTTATCCAAAATCTATGAAAAAAACACATAAAATTAATTATTTTATGGTGTATTGATGAATTAGATTTTTATTATTTTTATTAAATAATTTATATTATTATTTTATATTTTATAAATTTATTAGATTATAAAATAATTTTTGTTTTTATAAAGATAGATGAAATTATTTTATATTTTATATACGCAATTAAAAAATATAAAAAATATGATAATTAAAGATAAAATATGATTATTTTAATATATCATAATTAAAAAATAAAATACAAATAAAAAAAGTTATAAAGTTTATAATATAAAAAATACTAATTCATGATAATTAATATATGAATTAGATAAGAAAAGGTAAGAATGATATATGGTAACTTAAGAAAAGAAAAAAAGGAAAGCTAAAATAGTTTATGGTAATTACTAAGCCTAATAGTTAACACAAATCTGTATATTTGTCAATACGAACCACAAATTTATGACAAATAAGCTTACAAAGCACACGAGCCTGCTACTTAGGCTCAGTGCATTCTGTAATCTATATATGTTGAAAGAGGTTGTTGGAATGATCTAAAATAATAAATTTGTCTTTGTAATTAAATTGATTGACATACTATTAAAGGAAATATAGTAAAAATTACTTAATATATTTGGAAAAAATCAAATTATACCTAGCTATTGCAAATCGTGCAATTCGGTTAATAGCATGACTTTCTATATAAATAAGTGGTATCGGATTTGATCATTATTTTGTGATAATTATCATAATAAAATCCGATTCTCTATATTAATTCGAATTACTACAATTTCTTATTCTTTTGGTAACCAACCATATAGTGTGATTTTCTACAACATGTCTTCAATAGAGCGACTATTAAATAAAAATACTATTTGAACATGCATGATAATAGCAAATATAATTACAAAATAAATTTTGAAACAAATTATGTCGCTTAACATACAAATTATTAGTTTAATAAGAAAAATATAAATATTTATAATATATTATTTCCAATTAGAATGACAAACCAATGGATCATCTGTCGAACTATCCACGTAAATTATTAACTTAAAAAAATTGTAATGTATATTGTTATAAATTATAATATAATATATTGTTTTGTTTTGATGTGGCTTTTGGTTTAGTTGTTTGTTTAGGAGTCGTGTTTTTTTGGTTTGGGTAGTTGACCTCTCTGTGCCTGAGTGTGAGCTGGTATTATCCTTTTAGGATCGTTAATTATTCTTTTTTGGAGTTTTGTAGTGTTTTTTAGTTTAGTGTTGTAGTGTCGCTAGTCTAGCGTCGCTAGAGCGTCTCTAGGCGATATTCAGATTTGTCCTCTCAGTTTTTAGCTCTCAGTTGTATCATTTAGCTTTGGGCTACTTTGTGTTTGCACCTTTGTGCGCTTTATATATAATATCTCTATCGTTTCGAAAAAAAATTATAATGATAAACTAACAAGTGTTCGAACAACGATGTAAATTGTTAGATTAGAAAAGTAAAAAAAATACAATACATATTTTTGTTAATTATAGTGATAAATCAGTCGGTGTGGAACCGTCATATAAATTACTAGATTAGAAAGAAAATTTAAAATACTTATAATATACATTATTATAAATTATAAAAAACAAAATAAAAAATAATATTGCTGTAATTAAAATTATTAAATTTTTAAACTTCAAAATAATATTTATTACAGTCTTTTCAATTAATTGTTAGTTAAAATATTTGCTGCGATTTTTTAATTTTAACATAAAATATTTTGAAACTTAAAAAATAACATATGAGTAATGGAATATAAAGAGAGAAGTATTCTGTGTGAATTATACATTGATAATGTTTGCATATGTTAGATTTTCAATATTTTAATTATAAATAGGAACTCTAAAATTACAACTATTTTATAACGAGTGAGATAAATATATAAATCATATGTTAAATTATTATATTTGATATAAAAAAAGAAAAAATATTAATATCTAAAACTATTTTTACACTAATCAATATTCTTTTATTGATTTGATATATACAATTTATAATTATTGTCCCGTAGATCGTACTAATGGACGAATTTCCATTTCCACCCTTCTAAGTTTGTGTTTCATTTTTCTTTCTTTTTTTGGTTTAAATTTAAACTAATACAACACCCGTGTATTATACAGGCGTTTGTTAAAAAATTATTCTTAAAACTTAAAATTAATGAGAAAAAATATTTTTAATTTTATTTACTTTTTTACAAAAAATAAATATTATTATATATTTTAGAATGACACGTGTTACTTGTGCGATTTACATCTGTTATATTATAGTAACTTTTATAACTTATATCATATAACTACTTGAAATATACATATATTAATTGATAAATAATTTTATTTTTCTAATTAATATTAAAAAATAATTTTATTATTGTTATAAAATAAATATAATTTATTTTTTTATATATACAAGATGGATGTTAAATCGAAGCTCATCAATAGGTGATTAAATTTGATATATTATATATTTAAAACTGATAAAAATTACAAAAGTTATTAACTTTTTAAATACATTTACAGTTTAATGGTTAGAATAAGAAATGATATTAAAATACAATTAATACATGTAACGTGCCATAAATAATCAACATATTTATGGATAATCCCGACCTAATTATTTTTGGATTGGAAGTAAATTAAAATCTAACCAAACCTAAAAACGAAGCATGTAATTTTGCCATATAGGATCTTGAAGCATGCGAGTCTGGCACTTAGGCTCAGCACGTTCTGAATTAATATGTACGGGAGGAAGATTTTACGTGATTGTTTAAATAATATCAACCAATCATCAATATTATCAATATAATTAAATAATATAATAAAAAAAGTCAATCAAAACTCAAATTTAATCCAACTTTAACTCAACCCCACTATCATCAATATTATCAATATAATTAAATAATATCAACCAATCATTCTTACACATCGCCATCAACTTTAATTCACTCACATAATTTTAACTAACCATCACTTCGAATCACTTTTCTCATACTTTATATCAAATCAATTATAATTATTTATTTAAATATAATTTTAATATATCTACTAATAATTAACAATACACTTTTTTTTTAAAATTAAATATAATTAAAAAAAACAAACCAAATAAAAACTAATTGAATCCATAAACAATCACCTCATATTTTTCAACTATTGCGGAGTGTGCGATATTTATTCACATTTTCAACGTATTGCGGGATAAGGCGAGTATTATGAATGAGGGCTACCCTCATTAGACTCACCAGCTGCAGCAGTTTCCCTTGCGCGCTGCGACCACACACTTTTCCGCCGCCGCCTCTATCATCGGCACATCCACCGCCTTCTCGCCTCTTCGCCGCCGCCAGGACTCTCCGAAACATCGCCGTCATGGGTTCTCAGCCGACTGAGACCGAGTGGCCGGCCTCCCGAGTTAGAGAAACCTTCATCAAATTCTTCGAGGGGAAATCCCACGTTAATTTCAGATCGAGCCCCGTTGTTCCCCATAATGATCCAACTCTTCTATTTGCTAATGCTGGTAACTTTTTTTTTTCCCTTCTCATTTCATCCGTCGCTTTGTTTCTTTTTCCTTCATTTCTGTTACTGTGATTTAAGTATGCCATGGAGTTGTCTCCTTTTAGAAAATCTTTTGGCGTTTTACTGTAATAATAGGCTGCTCAATTTGAAATTTTGAATAACTAAACTTGAACGGAGAAGCTAGTATGGTTCCGAAGCGTTGAATTCATGAATGTTGTTTGCGTTTGGTACTAGCTATTTGATTGTTGTATTGTGGTTGAGCAGGTATGAATCAGTTCAAACCAATCTTTTTGGGAACTGCCGACCCAAACACCGAGTTGAGCAAACTCAGGCGTGCTTGCAATACTCAAAAGTGTATTCGTGCGGGTGGCAAACACAATGATCTTGATGATGTGGGCAAGGACACATACCACCATACATTCTTTGAAATGCTTGGGAATTGGTCATTTGGGGATTATTTTAAGCAAGAGGCCATTGAATATGCGTGGGAGCTTCTAACTAAGGCAATTCTCTGGCCTTTTTACTATTTTCAGCAGCTGTGATTGGTTGTGAGGATTATTTTCATTGTTTAGGGTTCTGCTGACTTCATTTACAAATTAGTTTATGCTTTGATTCTCACTTTTCTTTTCACCCATCACAGTCAATAATCAATTCGTTCAATAAAAATCACATCAGTAGTGTTATTGTGCTTTTATCTCACAGAAACACTATGCAGTGACTCATTTTCTACTAAAAACTATCTGTTGGTTTCTCTTCACACTTTATATCTACATTCCTTCAGGTGTATGGATTGCCTGATGATCGAATTTACGCCACCTATTTTGGTGGTGATGAGAAACTTGGTCTTCCTGCTGATAATGAAGCAAAGGATCATTGGCTCAGATTTCTACCTCCCAGCCGTGTTTTGCCTTTTGGCTGTAAGGTATGATGACATTTCATGTTTCACCAGCTTACCATATGGAGGTTTTATGCACAAAATAAGATTTATGCTTATCAATTATGATGCACACTCACATTCATGCGCATATGTGCTCCTACCATTTGCTTCAGCTTGGCTGGAAAATCCAAGTGATATCTAATTTCTAGTAATCTCTCTCTCCCTCTCTCACTCTTTCTTGCTCTGTCTCAGTCATTCTTTTCCTTTTCTATCGAATAGGACAATTTTTGGGAGATGGGGGATACTGGACCTTGTGGACCGTGCACTGAAATTCATTTTGATCGGATTGGTGGCCGTGATGCGGCCTCTTTTGTGAACAATGATGATCCTACAGTGATTGAGATATGGAATCTTGTCTTTATCCAGGTAAATGGCTTATTTTTAACCTGTTATAGTTTATCTGTCAGATTATAGGGTCGATCTCTAAATATTCTAGATATGCAGTTTAACAGGGAAGCTGATGGTTCATTGAAATCTCTACCTGCAAAACATGTTGATACCGGGATGGGTTTTGAGAGATTAACTTCTATTCTTCAAAATAAGATGAGCAACTATGACACTGATATATTTTTTCCCATCTTCGATGCGATACAACAGGTAAGTATGGTATATTGAGTTCTGCTACATTAAATTTGGGAGCAGAAAGATTCCGGATAAATATAGAATTATTTGACAAAACTAGAAAAATTAAAATTTGCTCTGGAAAGGATAAAAATAGCTCTAGACATATGTTTAAGGTACTTATGTTCTTTTCATATTTTAGGCAACCGGAGCCCACCCTTATTCTGGAAAAGTTGGGTCCGATGATGTGGACAATGTTGACATGGCTTACAGGGTCGTGGCTGACCATATTAGAACAATTTCATTTGCCATTGCTGATGGATCTCGACCAGGTTAAGTACTGAATTTTGTTGCTGTGTTATGAAAGTTATGGCAATCAAATTTGATACTCCATGTTCCACTGACATCATATATATTATTAATTGCTTGAGATAGTTCATCTCTCTTTTATTAGTGCCTGCGTGCCAGAACTCAGATGTTGTAACTGTTATACACATGTACTGTAGTCTCCATATTTTTCTGGGATTGACAAAATACAGATGCATAGTTATTGTTCTATTAGATGGTTTGTTTTTTAGGTGAGTAGTTCCTTTATTTATCCAGCGTAGATGAAGTTAAACCGTATCTCGATTGTTTTTAGACATTATAACCGTCAACCTTTTGTTTGTTGAAGATTTTCTTGTAAGAAGATAACTGTGTTACATTTACTTTGTGTCCTTTATGGTTGATTGTTTATGACAGTCAATCCTTGAGTGTTAAAGATTTCTTGTAAGAAGATATTTTCTGGTCGTGATATTTTGCACACCACATGAATCCAAGTGTCCTATGCTATATACATTCTTCTCCTGGGAAATGTGTCTTGGCCTGCGAAGTATGGAAATAATAATAAAAATAAGAATAACAACAACAACAACATCAACAACAATAATAATGACTATTTTTTGGTGTTGTCGAATTTCTCGTTTTCTTAAAAGGCAATTCACTCTTATCTTGTCTGGCTCGTCAGATCTTGAAAATAGTGCAGCATTTGTTAGTTAACTTGTAATAACAGAATCCAGAATGATTCTTGATGTTTAGTTTTTATTACCTTTTTTTTTTTNTATTCCATGTAAGTGTGGTTATTTGCAGGTAATGAGGGGCGTGAGTATGTGTTAAGGCGCATCCTTCGCCGGGCTGTGAGATATGGTACCGAAGTTCTAAAAGCACAACAAGGCTTCTTCCATGGGTATGAGTTCACCCACTTATGCTTTGTAATTTCCCAATGTACTGCATTTACGCATGGCTAGCAATCATCTGTGCAGTTATTGCATATGCATCCTATTATCCCCTTTTGTAACAGTGGTCTGTTCGTATTTAAGTTTTTTGGTTTACAATAGATGGTAATGTTATCGTTTTATATTTGGCAATACTGTTATATAAGCAGGTTGGTACAAGTTGTGCTGGAGGTCATGGGTGATGTCTTCCCTGAGCTAAAAGAACATGCATTGAAGATTCGAGAGATTATTGCTGATGAAGAGACCAGCTTTGGCAGGACATTGACAAAAGTATGTGGTGATCCCCCCTGCCCTCTCAGTGTATTATAAGCTTAGTTTTGGACATTGCTTGAAAATTAGTTTCTGCTTTTTTTGAGTAGGAATGCACGGGCGTCAATTGAAAGTTCTATCGTTAAAAGAGTTAAAAAAAAATATTTAAGCTTTCAAATACTCTTTTTAAAAAAATATTTTTTATTTTTTATTTAAATTTTACAATTTGCTCGTCTTATTTTATAATACTCATATCTAGGTGTGAGAATCAGTGTGGTTCGGTAAAAAACTGAACCACACCGTAAAAAACCGAAAACCAAAAATCTGAAATTTGTACACCGAACCCCACTGCAAGAAAAGAAAAAACCGAACCCAAGCAAACCGAAATTGGTTTGGTCCGGTTTTTCGATTAACCACAATTAAAAAAAGGCAAAAACACAAATTGGGGAGATGAGGAATAAGAGAGTAGAAGCGAGAGATCAAGATTAAAGAGTAGAAAGCTAACTGAATTAGGGATATGAGCAAGCTCTGGAAGCCGATGGGGTGATGGTCGGAGCTTTGGAGGCCGGTGCGGCGAGAGCGGCGCACCGGTGGGGAGATGAGCAAGCGCTGGAGCGGCAAAAGTGAACGAGGAGTGGGAAGTGGGCTAGGTAGGGTTTGTGATTTCTGAAGCAGATTTCTTATTTCTTTCGGAGCTTCGGAGGCCGGTGTGGCAAGCGGGTGCATCAGTGGAGAGATGAGCAAGCGCATGAGCAAGGAAAGTGAACGGGGAGTGGGAAGTGGGATAGGGTAGGGTTCATGATTTCTTATTTCAGAAGCAGAACAGTGATTTCTTATTTCTGAAGCAGTGATGAACAATTTTACGGTAAAATTGTGTAAGACTTTAAGTGGATATGCTAGCTATAATTTATTTGACACATAAAAGTTTCAGAACCGCACCCTTCAGACTCAAAACTAAACCGCACCGATTTATTTGCGATTTTCTAAAATTTAACCAGCATGCACCGCTCCGCACCGAACGCATCGGTTCGGTTTTGGTCCGTTTTGCTCACCCCTACTCATATCATATAATATTCTTGATAGATAATTTAATTAATAATTTATTTCATTCCAATTAGGATATATTGGATAATTTACTTTGTATTTATAAAGGTAGATGTATTTTTTTATATATGCAATATGAATATCATGTTATATTTTGGTTAAAATAATATTAAATTGTAACGTGCGTTACATGTTACACATTTCATTCATTCATGGGTGTAAGATGAGTTTCACGAAGGTTGAAACTTATTGATTTAATTATTATTGGGTTAATTAAACATAAGTTTTATCTCAAGTTTAATGGTCTTCCATTAAGTAAGATGTAAATAAGTTCTTATACATTTGTAACCACACGACAAGTGACATCTATATATACTTTTCTTCTTTGATTTCAAAGTGATAAGGCTTGATCGATCTCAAAACCATTTCCATTTTGTGTGTTTTCTAAAGATTTCCAAAAGAGGGAAGAAATAGAGTTTTTGGACAAAGTTCCAAAAAACTTGTTTGAGCCTTTATATTATTTTATTATAAGTGTTCTTGAGAGAAATATTGAATAAAGAAAATTTTCGTTTTGTTGACTGTCTTTTTCTCTATTGCTAGCTACTTTTTCCAACATATCATATATCAAAAATCAATAAGAGATAATAAAGTTACTAAAATTTAAATATATTTATAATTTAAATTGATCAAGTGTTCTATAATTCTAGATCTCCTATGGTAAAAGTCCTTATCTACATGGAGTACTCCGAAGCACCATAATTTGACGCATAGGATTGCTAAGCACCAGAAATCGACACATAGATATGAATCACTAGAACAGGAGGGACGTGTCATGAATTCTGCAGAGTTAGTACTTTCTGTAGCTTGTTTGTCATGGTGTCCATCAATGTTATTAATGGAGGATGGCGGTAGGCCAAAATCCCACCAAAGCAGCCTATGGCGGTGCCATAACCGTCATCCTTCACAAATTTAGCATGCTGTGGCGGCCTGTGGCACCGCCATCACTGCCATCCTTTTCTCAAATTTAGCATGTTGGTTTGTAAAAATCATCCATGCCATACCCGCTATGGCGCTGCCATTGGCTCCATTTGGTAACACTGGTGCCAATTATCTCATACTAGTCGGTGTAAAGAAAAATCCATCCGAGTTAGATGCAAGAAAAGAAAGTCGTATGAGTGTAAAGATAACAATTTATCGTTTGACCTGTCCAGTTTGATTGGTAATATCAAATTTGAGTGAATGGAATATTTATGAAGTATGTTGTCTTTGATGTCGAGATATTATGTTTTCTCTGAACTCTTATTGAAAGAATATACTCGCCAAGACAAAGATTTTGTTAACAGTTTCCTTACATATATGCGTACAATTAACTGTGGAATATTTCTTTTTTCTTTTTGGATTATATCGGCATATAATCTCCTACAAACAAATTAAAAGTCGTTCACCACTCTTTGCATCAGACCCGTCCAGTTTTGTTTCAGATTTATTAAGTGAATTCCTTCCTCTGAATGTAACGAATCCAATATGCCTTTTTACTTTCAGGGAATTGAGAAATTTAAGAAAGCTGCTCAAGAAGTTCAGGGGAGAGTACTAAGTGGACAGGCATGTTAGCTAGATCTCTGTTTAGATTTATTTGTTGTATCATATCTGTTGCATTTGTTCTGCTGTCTGATCTACTGGCAATACCAGCTCTCATGTCCCAACACATCAGTATCATATGTAGACACTGGCAATTGTCAACTGCATTAGATAGTCAGCTGGAGAGTTGGTCATAATCATGTATTATGATGTTTCATTTGCGGGGATAAGCTTTGTTATGCTCTTAAAACCAATTTGATAAATAAAGAGGTAGAGGACGTATTAGATATATTGATCATTTGTTTCCATGATTGGTTGCAAACCCCTCATTTGAAGCCTGATTACAAAGCCAACGTTGTGGAATGTCTTAATGCAAGCAAAAAAATTACTTGGTATTGGAAAACACCAGTTAAGAAACAACATTTGTGGGCTATGGAGTTGCTCGATATTTGTTCCCAACTTATAACCTTTGCTATCTTTTTCAACTTAACTCAACCTTTTGTTTAGTTGAAAAGGTTGTATTTTCTGTTGTAAAATTATGAATCCCATGATATTGATTGTAGTCTATTTTTAATTGCTCAGTTTGCATGTCTTTGGTTTCATAAAGCTTTTTCTTTCAGCTTTTATTAAAACGTATCATCTAATTGTAGGATGCGTTTGACCTATGGGATACCTATGGGTTTCCGTTGGATCTAACTCAGGTGACCACTTCAATTCCTGCATGAAATCTAACTTTGTTGTTCTGAATATACAATGACAACTTAAGTCTGTCAGCTGATGGCGGACGAAAGAGGATTGACCGTTGATGTTGAAGGGTTCAATATTGCTATGGATAAAGCCAGGGAAAGATCCAGGAAAGCGCAGAATAAGGTGATGAGTTATCTAACTGCAGATATTAGTAGACAATCTGCAACTTTCAAAAATCTTATCGCTCTTAATGTATCAATCACGTTGTTTGTTTCAAAAGTAATTTTAGTATATACTATGTGTTTCCTGTGCCTATGCGCATGCTTAAATCTTTATGGTTACGTTTGTCTTAGCAAGCCGGTGGTACAATTGGCATGGATGCTGATGCTACAGCTTCATTGCACAAGAGAGGAGTTGCTGTGACAGATGACTCTGTCAAATATACTTGGTTTCAGGTTTGTTGCTTGGTGGACATTTTTTTTTTTTTTGAATTTCTGTAGGATTAAACATGTTGCTGAGGTGTGTCGTATACATTTGGTTTATTGTGTTATAATTCGAAATGTGATACCTGAGAAATATTACAGCACAAATTCAGCTCCCAATCTGCCGGATGTGGTTAGCATAAATCATCGAGTATATGCTAATGCTATAACATTGCCACCCACTTGCCTTACTTATTTTCTGAATCTTATTCTCATGTTCATTTTCTCTTGATATTGCTGTGTAGAAATTTTTATTACTATACGTTGAAATTAATGTTGGATTTGTCTGAGTCTCCAAAGGTGAATGAGTGTCAGGAAGTTAATTTTTACTGTTGATAGCCCAAAGTATAAAATTTGTTCCCACCTGGTGATACAAGTGACAAAACCCCTGTGACAGTTTATTTTTTTCTTCGACAGTTGCTTTTTTTCTTCCACCCATTATATCTATATCGAATGCGTGGATGTAGCCGTGATTTTCTGTAGATTTTCCATATAGAGTAAGATTAGATGTTTTGCCTGCTCTAGTAGCATACAAGTTTATTCGCAAATGAATGCTTGCTGATGTTCTGATTCTCCCAATGATTATAGGATCATGCGAGTGTAATAAAAGCTGTTTACACTGGAAGTGAATTCCTGGAAAGTGCCGGTCCTGGTGAAGAAGTTGGCATAATCCTTGAAACTACTAGCTTTTATGCTGAGCAAGGTGGTCAGGTAGACATTTACCATGGTATTAATTTGCAATGTGTCTGGTTTTAATCTATATATTTAACTTGTATGGCATGACGAATTTTAAGCCCTGCCGCCATATTATGGCGGCTTTGCAATGGCGGTTGCGAAGTCCATGGCGTCCACAGAGGTGTGGTGTTCATTGTGGAAAAATTTGCCTTAAAATGAAAGACAATGCTATTGGGTGAGCCCAAATTTGCCAAAGTCAGCCCAGATCTATAACAGATCTGATCTGACAAATTACAGAAAACACCTGCAGATGGAGAAATGAGAAGAGCCACCCTTCAGTGGCTCAACTTCCAGTGACCATTATTTTTGTTATTCTTTCCCTCTCTCTCTCTCTCTTTTTTCTCCCTGTTCTCTATTGTTTTATTTTCCCAACCTTTCTTTCTCCTTCCCTGTCTCTCTCCAGTTTTTTTTGCTCTTTATACTTTTGAGATTGACATTTGGCTGCCTTTTTTGTTCAGGTTTTTATTTATTTGTTTTACAGTATCTTTTTTGCGCATTAAATAAAAAAAGAAACTCTATTTTTCCTTTGCCATCCTTCAATTTTCAGTTCTTTATTTAGTTGTTTTTATTTTCTGATTTTTCTTCTTGTAAAAAATTATTTTTCGCACTCCTATAAGATTTTTATTTATTTGTTTTGTTTTGTTTTTATTTTCAGCTATTTCTTATGTAAACTAATGTTATGTTTATGTAATTATTGACATGTTTTTAGCTTTTACTATGGTGTTATAAATGTTTATATATATATTTTTGGGCGTATCATCTACATAAAAAATTATATTTTTCCGTCGTGCCTGCCACCATTTTCCACAATGCCATCCGCAACATATATATTATATGGCGATTTTTTGGCTCACTGCCGTGAGCCGCAATCTGCCATTGACAATACTGGAATTTAAATTTGTGTGAGTTGGTTATATATATGTGTGTATATATATATATCCAGATTTTTTCGTGTATGTGTGTTCACCATTGGGGTTGATGAACTTCGGGGTAGATACTCTAGTGACATGGCTTCAATTCAATGTTTGTTGTCAAAGAAATAACTTCATTCTAGAAAATCATCTACTAAACACGCATCAGTGTCCAAGATTGTTTAATTAGTCTCTAGCCTTGAAGCCAGTGTAAATGATCAGCTGCATAAGGGTTAATCTTTACCTTAGAGGTATTAAGTAATAACCATAATCAAGATACCTGTGAAGTGGTTCTGCAAGAAATAGAAACACATTTATATTTCCAAGTCTTCCAATTTAGAGTAGTATTATATTATTTTGTTAATTATTCCTTTTTTGCATACGAATCTTGGTGAAATTTTCATTTTTGGGGGTATTTCAATTTTGCTACAAATATTTATTTTTTATTAGATTTGTTTGGGTGCAAAAGAGATGACGCTTCTGCCATTTAGAGCGCAGTGCCAGTATCACTCAGACACTCACTCAGTATTTTGTCTTGCAGATATTCGATACTGGGATAATTGAAGGATCTGATGGCATTTTTGAAGTTAGTAATGTTCAGATCTATGGTGGATTTGTTCTTCATATTGGCTCTTTTAGTGGAAAGACTGGCAGATTGTACATTGGTGATAAAGTAGTGTGTAAGGTGATAGTCCTTACCTCTGTGCTTACCTTTATCTGTGAGATTGTTCAACATACGAGATTATATTAGTTGCTGTTTGTTTATCCTTGTAAGTAGTCTTACATTGGGGTTGGGCAGGTTAACTATGATAGAAGGATGCTGATTGCTCCAAATCACACCTGTACACACATACTAAACTATGCTCTAAGAGTAAGGCACATTAACTCTGAAAGCTGCCAAGCCAATCTTGAAATTCTATGATTTATTCCTAAATTTTTAACCTTCACAGTACATTGAAATAATTGCAGGAAGTGCTTGGTAATCATGTTGACCAGAAGGGCTCCATTGTTCTTCCTGAAAAATTGAGATTTGACTTTTCTCATGGTAAGCTTCTTGTTGTAGTTAGGCATATCCTATAGAAGCAACTAACTAAAAAAATCCTAAACAGGAAAGCCTGTGAAGCCAGAGGAGCTGAAAAAAATCGAGTTAATTGTAAATGAACAAATTGAGTCTAAATTGAATGTGTACTCAAAGGAGACCAAGCTGGAAGATGCAAAACGTATAAATGGACTAAGGGCCGTTTTTGGAGAGGTAAACTTCTAACTTGTCGTTTGTGTATGGAAAGTTCCATATGGACCACCAAAAAGTTTGAGTGGTTATTCTACTGTTTGATTCGTTTTTCCCATTGTTACTTTTATTGTTTTGTGTAGGTATATCCTGACCCTGTTCGTGTTGTCGCTATCGGACGCAAAGTGGAGGATCTTCTTGCAAATCCTGATAATGAAGAGTGGTTATCAATCTCTGCTGAGCTGTGCGGGGGTAAGTTTCAAGAAAATTTATTGCTTTGAGGAGAGGATCATTTTAGTTGTGATAGTAAAGTAAACCATACTTGTTCAGGGACACATATATCAAATACTATGGACGCCAAAGGCTTTGTGCTTTTATCAGAAGAAGGGATTGCTAAAGGAATCCGTAGAGTTACAGGTGTGACAATGGATTGTGCTTTTAAAGCCTTGGAATTGGCTTTCGCAATTGAGCAAGAAGTAGATGAAGCATCCAGAGCTGAAGGGAGCCTTCTGGAGCAGGTTCATGCTTCTTAAGAATCAAGATGTTTTGAAATTTCGGAGACTGCTTATTTTGTAGTTGAAATAATTGATGGGAATTGATTGCTTTTCGTTATACTGCTTATTTTGGCAGTTAAATTATTGGATGTTTGATTCTTTTTCAAGTATTTTCTTCTCAGTCATATTTGTGCCCCCCAATTGCCTGTGGTGTAACCATTTTACTTTCCTTATGTCTTCATCCTTGAGAATTGAGAATGAATAGCCCTCTCTCTTATATCCCCACAGACAGAGGGCATGTTCATTGAGGGCTTTCTTGATATTTTCTGAGTATTTCTTTAGCTGATGTTCTTTTTCTGCATTTCGGAGAATGATCTCCTTTTGATTATATTCTACAAAATTAGCTAAATTTCTACCTTATCTGATTTTCAGAAAGTAGCTTCACTAAATAATCGTGTGGAAGGAGCATCCATACCTGCCTCAAAGAAAGCTGATCTCAAGGCCAAAATATCAGTCCTACAGGTACTTGTCACTGCTTGTATCTGTCTGCTCTTGTATTGATATATATGTTAAATGGATTGTATGAAATTTAGTTATGAACAGATTTAAGGGCAGGAAAGGTAATTAAGTGTGTGATAAAAAAATACATTGACTATAAATGTTGGTGAACAGTGCATTAATAGTTCTTTTTACTTCTTGCACAATTTTATGGTTGTCATCGCAGTACTCTTACGGCACCTTTGCGGATTTTGATAGACTTCATAGGAATTTTAATCACTCTTATTTATGTAATAGATAAAAGCCCGTTGGTAAAAGCCAGCACGTGAGACTTGGGAGTTTTGTTTTTGGACTATCAATCCAAGGGGGTAGGGTATGATTATTATCACATCATTAATCCAATGACCAAAAGACTTTACTGCCCTCAACCTAGTTATTGAACTGACCATTTTTGGGTAATGGCAAGGGTATATGAGGAATGTAAGTGATATTATTCTATTCTCAACTTTCTGAAACGACCAATTAAGTGATGGGTAGATAATTATCCCAAGTATTTTTACCATCCACAAACAAATTAAAGTAGGATACATTTTCCAATTTAACCGTATAGGATAGTTTTTATTATGGACAATCCAGCCCCTCAAACATGCCCTAAAGTAATTCATTTATTCAAGGATATGCATAGAAGCTGAAACTTCTTTTTCTATTTTGAATCTGTAAATCCTGGTGAAACATGAGGATTGGCTATTATTGGTCCTGTTATTGTTTTGAGTATGACATGAAACGAAAAAGAAAATGAAAATAAATCTGTATTTGTTGTTGCTGCTGCTGCTGCTTCTTCCCAGAGTCAAGTGATAAAAGCCAAAAAGAAGATGGCTGAAGAGCATATGCGGAAAGCCATTGAAGTAGCCGTCCAAACAGCTGAAACTGCTTCATCGAGTGGAAAAGCTTACTGCATTTCCCTTGTTGATGTTGGTTCAGATACTGCTGCCATTCGAGAGGCAGTTGTCAAAGTCATGGAGCAGAAGGTGAGTTTTTGTTTTCTTACCATTAATTGTCAATTCTATTTAGTTATGAAAGTTTAGCTATTTCTGTAATAAATGATTGATTGTTGTGATGTGTTGGGACAAAAAATAGGGGTTGGCAATGATGGTCATTAGCAGGGATGAGAAGGCGAATAAGGCCTTTGTGTGCGCTGGTGTTCCTGAGCAAGATGTCAAGTACAAGCAACTGAAGGTGACAGAATGGTTGAAAAATGTGTTGGATTTTATCAATGGAAAGGGTGGTGGAGGCAAAGGTGGTCTTGCTCAAGGCCAGGTCAGCAAAAATGCCATTTTAAAAAATTAGACACTGTTTGACATAACCCAATCAAAGATTAATATTAATCTAAAAACGTTACTAAAAGAGGAAAACTCTAGAAATAACAAACTAAAAATATTGAAAAATGTGCCCATAAAAGTGAAATTCTTTGCCTTATTTGATGGTGCACACTTTTCGTTAGGTGGTTTGATACAAGTTTTTGTATTTTTGAATTATATCCTTTTGTGATTTATCTTAAACAACTTTCCCTGGAGTCTCTTTGATTGATATCCTTCATCTGGGTATTTCCAAAATGCTAATTTCATCCGTCCGTTTGTGTAACCTTTGGAACAAGTTTTGGTACTTACTAGCATCACTCCCTGGTGCATAGAGATGTTAAATTAGCAGATTTTTTAAAACATATATTAATTTCTTATTATAGGACAAAAATTATTTTACTTAGTTTTGTTTCGAATATAATACTGAAGTATATATATAAAATTGTTGTGTATGTTTAAATTTAAATTTGCAACTTTAGAAATTTTGATAAATGATGGTCAGAGTTGGGTCCGTATATTGCTTATTTGTTTAAACATGGTTTTCTTGCTCGGACAGTTTTTACTTGAGCTAGCCAGAAACTGTTAGGGAAAGTCCATTAATGTCTCCATTGAACATATTTCGGTGCATTATGTGTTTTTTTCTATGAAGAATATTTTACTTGAACCTATTGTGCTTTGACTCCATTGACAGGGAAGTGACATTGCCCAAGTTAAAGCTGCTATGGATGCTGCAGAATCATTTGCTGCGATGAAGCTGCATTGATACTCATCACAAACGATAAACTACTCAGAAACCTCTAGTTATAGCTTTAGACTACAATGTTTTGAACACTCGTCATATATTCCCGGAGCTGGGACTTCGATCATGACTGGGTCTTGTGTTGCTTAGAGCATGTTTGGACAAGATTTCTAAAAAAAATATATATATTTTTTTTAACTCAACTTTGATCGAACTTCACTATCTTTAATATTATTAATATAATTAGATAATACCAATCATTTTTTTACACATTACATTCATTTTAATCTACTATTCATCAACTCACATAATTTTGACTAACTATAGTTTCACATCATCTCACTTGTACTTTTGCAACAAATCAATTTGAAATGTGAAATTGAGGGGGAAAAAAACAAGAAAAAAAATATTGAGATAGATTATAACTTTTGTGCTGTGCATAGTGGATTTGAGTAACAAATGAGAGGCAAAATATTATTTTTAGTCCATTATATTGGTCTTTTTCTGCATATGTCTATTTTTTTGGTAGATATCAAACTTAGTACATTTATTTAAAAACTTCACCAAATAAGGAACATTAATCATTAGTGGCAGGATCACGGACTTAAAATGTAGTTTGTGCATATGATTTTGAATGGGCAATTGACTAAGCAAATGAACTCCATTTTATCTGAAATTTTGACTATATGACCGTCCCGACACAAAGAATTCAACGGTAGATCAGATACCTGAAATTGACGTGAGATGGCACTATAGTTAAGCTGAAAATAGAACAACCTAAATTATTTTGGAAGAAAAATTGACTTGGTAAATGAAATCTAATTGAACTAAAAATTTGTGATGACGATAGGGGATAATCCCCAAACTCACACAGAAAAGTAGCCTTGATAAGACAAATTCCACAGTCAGTCATCCAACTAAAACGTACACTAAAAGACACGAAAATGGCCCGTAGATAGATAACAACGAATTTGGGCTCAAATTAGTTTGGATGACAAATTGAGTAGGCAAGCGAACTCCAATTGAGATCAAATTTCGTGATAATGACCCACATGACAAGAAGAATTCAATGGTGGGCCACCCACCTAAACCAGATGGTATATGGCGTCATAATTAAGCTGGATAGGAAATAACTCAAATTATTTTGGATGAAAAATTGAGGAGACAAATGAATTATAATTGGGTTAAAAGTGTACAGATACAACCGTCTCGACAAGAAGAATCGAACGGTAGTTTGCTTACTTGAAACGGACATCGGACGACTTCCAAATTATACCAAAAAGGAAATGGCGCATTTTATCCTACCACTAATGATTAGTGTACCTTATTTAACGAATTTTTCAAATTAATGCACTAAGTTTGATGTCTGCCAAAAAAGTGGACCTTTGCTAAAAATGACCAATATAGTGGACTGAAAATAAAATTATGATAACAATGAGAAAAAATATAGAGGTGGATTAAAACTTTTTTTTGAGCAAATAATAATTATAGCACATTTAAAAAATAATTAAAAAATGTACATAGAAGTAGTTTCAAATGAGAATGATGCATAATGAGAGAAACAAAAATAAATATGTACAATTGGATCTAACATATCAATGGTCATGATTAAGTTAAGATATACTCCCTCCTATTGTTATTATTTGTCATCCTAGCTTAATTGATCATTTGTTGAATAAATGTCGTTTTGGCTATTTTATACATATTTTTCCCTTATTACCCTCATCTAACTAATAAATACACTACGTCTTTTCATATTCACTCTCCATCTTTTCTCAAAACATCAATATCTATCCTCATTAATGAGGGTTATTATTGACAAAAAAAATATTCTTAATTATTGTGCAACTTCTCAAAACGAAATTTATTAAAAATAAGAGGGAGTAGTAAATAATGGTCAAACACACGGTGACAATATAGTAAATAAGTGTACATATTGTGGTCAAATGTTTACGTATGATCACTCATTAAGGATAAATTGGTCATTACAATTCCAACTCACCCAATGGGCCCCACCCCAACCCACAGTTGGCTTCTATGAAGCTCATCGTCGATGTGCACATTCAAATCTATTAAAAATAAATCCTAACGCAGCGGAATTATAGTTTGGATCAGGACTTATGATTTAAAATTTTTTTCCGACTGTGAGACATTTTTTATTTCCGTTGATGGAGATCGTCTGAACCTCGTCGAGTTGCTCGTCCAACTTAATCAGCGCGTCATGTTTCTTTGAGTCCGAGTCACGTCTCAGATCACCTTCAGCTTTCTGGACTATTATCAGGCTGCACCCGGGTTGCTGGAGATGGTCTGGACTTGCCACGACTCGCCTAGTGTGCTGGTGGCTGAGGGTCGCACGGTCTGGTGCACTGGTGGTCGAGGCTTGCGCGGTTTGCTGCGCTGGTGGCCAAGACTTCGCACGCATCGGGTGCTCGTTGTCGAGACATCACGTTGTGGGGCTGCTGATTGCCGAGACATCACGCAGAACACGACAAGCGTCGCCAGGGTCGCGCGAGATGAATGCGGGTCACACTGAAGACACTCGGGTCGCGCGAGATGAATGCGGGTCGCGTTGAAGACACTCGGGTCGCGCGGGCGTGCCAGCGCTGGCGTTGGGGCATTGTGCATGAATCACTTGCGATCCACAGAAGTTACGTGGTTGCCAGGGCTATGCGCAGGTCGCGCCCTACGGCGCGTGAGGCACCAGAAACGGTCCGTGGGGTTGCGGCTAGTGGTGCTAGGCACGACGGTGGATGCGTCTGCCTCTGGTGGTGGTGCAGTCCATGTTTTGTGGTGGTCTAAGGTGCCGCGGGGACATATACATATATTCATATATATTCACTGGGATGCAGAAATAAGATCTTGAGATATTCTGCTGTAGGAGCTTTATGTTGGGTTCTATTAGGAATGTCATCGATATACTCATCCGAATCTAACTAATTAAATCCTAGTGCAGCGGAATCTATAGATAGGATTAGGACTTTACGTTTTAAAATTTTTCCGACTCTGAGACGTTGTAGATTTCCTCTATAGAAGATTGTCTGAACCAAAGAGTCCGTTGGGCAGCCTGACTAGGCCTTTTCGCTACGGGTCACCGAGATGTGGTAGGCTCGCGATCGGGTCACCAGGGATCGATGCGTGTCGGGCGCTGTCTGGGTGCATGCGCGTTGGGCGCTGTGGGTTCACTGGCGTGCGCGTCGGGCGCTGCGAGGCTCGCTCGCCTTGGGCGCTGGCGTGCAGGTCACTGCCGTGCGCGTCTGCATGTGCGGGTCGAGTGCATCAGCTGCGCGAGGGCTGTGGACTGGTGCACGCGTGCTGTTGCGTCCGAGGATGTCGGGTTACCAGGAAGCAGAAGGGTCGTGATGTGCGTAGAATTCTCATGCTCGCCTGGTAGCGTGCGACATCGTCAGGGCCTGGCACGTCGAGGCTTGCTCGTTTCTGGGATGCACGGGTCGTAGCATCGCTGCGGGGTTGCTGCGGCTGGCTCGCGGTGGTTCACGGTGGCCAAAATATTTTTTCGATGACAATATATATACGTTGGTATCTCGAATATATTGGACCTTAAGACTTTCTAATGTATGATCTTATACTCCTACTTCGAATAGTCTTGGTGGTGCGACTAAACGAAACTCCCGAATTCTCAATATATGTAAAACTCAATTTTCCCTCTTTTTTTCAAGACTCAAATCGGCTCTCACACATGTATATTGAGTTGTTGGGACTTGGTATATTTATAGGCTACATTAGGGACCTTAAGGAGATGCTAAATATGGTCTTTTCCAAATAGGGTTAGGAAACCTAATATCTTCCAACTCCTTTCCTTTCTAGAAGTTCTAATCTCTTCCAACATAATTACCCTTCTAGAAGACTCCATGTCGTCCTTACCTTGGCAATATTCTAGAAAGAATTAGATTCTCCTACTTAGAAAATTTTAGAAGATAATTTATTCCTTCTCCTATTTGAATAAATATTAAAATATCCCAGTAGAGTAATATTATTGATCTCCCCATTTAGATCCAATTTATTCAATAAATTCGACCCCCTAAGTAATTAATTTTATTAATTTAATTGATCTATTTACCATTTAAGATATACGTCTATTGATTAATTTAATTACTGACAATATAACTAATCAATTTATTTTATCTCTCGGATCCGAAATTAGTATCACTCAGTTTGTTTAATCATTATGTTGGAATTTAATCCCCCTGCATGACTTAACATAATATTTTTTCCTGAGTTCATTTCGAGGACGTCATCAACCCAGCGGACCGAGACATAGTGACCGAAAATAATTTTAACAACACATCATATAAACATCATTATTTACCAAAATATCGAGTATGTCATCCCAATAAAATAGGAATCACATTTGGTAAATTAAATAAATAAATGATGAGTACATATCCCCGTTTATTATCTTACAGCTTAAGAGAATGCATCAATTACTAGGCTCTAGATTATTTACTTGGTAAGTATTCAAATAATCCTCTCCTCCGTGGTCTATTCAATACTTACAAAGTGCTAGTGTAATTCATCAGTCAAAGATCAACTGAATCAAAATTACACTACAGTCGTTTACCAACATGTTGTTCAATCTGTCTAGACTGTCAATTAATTAATTATATTTTACAAGGAATTGATAATATGATATTTCTGTTCGACACATCGAACCATATTATCTACAATGTAAAATAAAGGAACTTATGCTCGTATAAATAAATAAACTGCAAACACATATACTTGACCAAAACATGATTGTCATTCAATATGGTACTGCCAGAAACTGAAAGTCGAGCTTTTACAGTATACCCTAACAATCTCTCACTTATACTCTATAGAGCTTTCGACTATTATAAAGTATATCTTCTTTCAATTTAATTCTCAAAGACTAGTCTAACTAGTCGCTTTACCCCTGACTCTCATTCCTTCTACGTGTCAGTCAAAGACCTTCGCCGGTAGGCTATTTTCAAAAGGATCTGCTAGGTTGTCTTCAGACGCTATCTTGGCAACGACGACTTTCCATCGTTCAACGATTTCTCATATTGGGTGGTACTTGCGCTCTATGTGTTTACTCACTTTATGAGTTCGTGGTTCTTTCGAGTTTGCTACTGCTCCGCTGTTGTCACAGAAAACTGTGATTGCAGCGTGCAAACTCGGTATCACGTCAAGGCCTAACAAGAAACTTCTAAGCCACCT